GCCTTCGATGGAGCTCCCTATGGGCCACGAAGCGTTGTGCTGGGCGGAGGAGGCGCATCCGGGCGGTCCCACTGGGGCCTTCGATGGAGCTCCCTCTGGGCATGCGGACTTTGCCACCGGGGCCTTCGGTGGAGTTCCCTATGGACCGCGAAGCGTTGTAAACGCACGTGGGCTCTGCCACTGGGGCCTTCGGTGGAGCTCTCCATGGGGCCACGAATCGGTGGGGCTCCCTATGGGTCCACGAAACGCTGCACTGGGTGTGCGGGACGCACGCGGGCGGTCCCACTGGGACCTTCGGTGGGGCTCCTTATGGGGCCACGAAACGCTGTACTGGGTGTGCGGGATGCATGCGGGCGGTCCCACTGGGACCTTCGGTGGGGTTCCCTATGGGGCCACGAAACGCTGTACTGGACGGAGGCGACGCATGCGGACGGTCGCACTGGGACCGTCGGTCGGCGTGGCTCTTTCGAGGGCCACGAAACGCTGCACTGGGTGGTGTGTGACGCATGCGGGCGGTCCCACTGGGACCTTCGGTGGGGTCCCCTACGGGGCCACGAAACGCTGTACTAGGTGTGCGGGATGCATGCGGGCAATCCCACTGGGGCCGTCGGTGGATCTCCCTATGGGGCCACGAAACGCTGACTTAGCGGTGCGTGACACATGCGGGCGATGCCACTGTGGCCGTCTGTGGAGTTTTTTAGAAGGCCACGAAACGCTGTACTGGGTGGTGCGTGACGCATGCGGGCGGTCCCACTGGGGCCTTCGGTGGAGTTCCTAGGGCCACGAAACGTTGTACTGGGTGGTGCGCGACGCATGCGGGCGGTGGCACTGGGGCCGTCCGTGAAGTTCCTTATGGGACCACGAAACGCTATACTGGGTGGAGCGTGATGCATGCGGGCGGTCCCACTGGTGCCTTCGGTGGAACTCCTTATGGGGCCACGAAGCGCTGTACTAGGTGGTGTGTGACGCATGCGGGCGGTCCCACTGGGACCTTCGGTGAACTCGCTATGGGGCCACGAAGCGTTGTATTGGGTGGTGCAAGACGCATGCGGGCGGTCCCACTGGGGCCGTCGGTGGATATCCCTCTGGGGCCACGAAACGCTGTACTGGGTGGTGCGTGACGCATGCGGGCGGTCCGATTGGAACCTTCGGTGTGGCTCATTATGGGGTCACAAAACGCTGTAGTGCACGACGCATGCGGGCGGTCCCATTGGGGCGTTCGGTGGAGCTCTCTATGGGGCCACGAACCGCTCTATCGGGTGGTGCGTGACGCATGCGGGCGGTCCCACTGGGACCTTCGGTGAAGCTCCCTATGGGGCCACGAAACGCTGTACTGTGTGGTGCGTGACGCATGCGGGCGGTCCGTTTGGGGCCTTCGGTGAGGCTCTCTATGGGGCCACGAAGCGTGTGAGAGGAGAGGTGTGCTGACATGGGTGGTGATGGTGATGGTAATGAAGCGCAGGGAGGAAGGAGGAGAAAGAGGAGGAGGAGGAGGAGAAGAACGCGGTGACCTTTTTTGCTTTCAAAACGAGGACCCAACACCACAGGACGTTTGGGAACAAGTGGTAGAACCAGACGGGCGGATCGGGTGGGTAGACCCATAGGGGCAGAGCGAGATCCCGATTCCTAAATGAGCTGCGAGGGAGTCCCAAGCGTAAGCGCGACTCCTGGGTGCCTGAGTGTCAGGAGCGCGGCGCTTGAGAAAATTGCGGGAGGGGGGGGTCCAACGCAAGAGCGCGATCCTTGAGTAGATTGCAAGCAAGTCCCCAGCGAGAGCGCGACCCCCGAACGCCAAGAGAGCGATTCCTGCATAAATTACAAAAAATCCCCGAGCGAGAGCGCGACGCCTGAGTAAAATGCGAGGAAGTTTCAGACGGGAACGGGGTGCCTGGCTAAATCGTGAAGAAATGTACGCGGGAACCGTTGTTGTTGCAATACGGGGGCCGACATCGCAGTTTGAGCCTAGTGACTGTCCCCCCAACAAAAAAAAAGAAAAATAAAAAAGAAATATCACAGTGCGACCCTACCTAGGAATTGGAGCCCCTATGAAAGCAGTATTGGTAGTAACAATAAAGCTAAGCTAAAGCTAAGCTGGAGCTAAGCTAAAGCTAAGCTAAAGCTAAGCTAAAGCTAAGCTAAAGCTAAGTAAAGCTAAGCGACAGCTAAGCGAACGCTAAGCTAAAGCTAAGCTGAAGACCAGCTGAAGCTAAGCTAACGCTAAGCTAAAGCTAAGCTGAATCTAAGCTAACGCTAAGCTAGAGCGAAGCTGAAGCTAAGCTGAAGCTGAGCTAAAACTAAGCTAAAGCTCAGCTAAAGCTCAGCTGAAGCTAAGCTAAAGCTAAGTTAAAGTTAAGCTAAAGCTAAGCTGAAGCTAAGCTAAAGCTAAGCTCAAGTTAAGCTCAAGCTAGGCTAAAGATAAGCTAACGCTAAGTTCAAGCTAAGCTCAAGCTAAGCGCAAGCTAAGCTAAAGCTAAGCTAAAGCTAAGCTGAAACTAAGCTG